CGTGGACGCTGCAAAATAACTCGATTTAACTGTATATATTAACAATCACTATGATTTGTCGTTACCTTTGTAGTCACCTTAACCATTTTGAAAGCACGAAACACTTGAAATTATGGTAGGACAATTTTCGGGATATCAAAATCATTAACATTGACATAAAACTGACAACAGAAGAATGCAAAAATATATCCATGTATATATGTATAATATACAAATATATCCAAAGAATGTGCGTAACACTCGAAACTAGTTTTTACAGACTGGGAAGCACTGGAACAAAGCAAAAGAGGTTATTTACTTTGAAATCAGTGAAAACGGTTTTCTTTTTTGAGAACCGATTGCTTTTGATTTCATATGATAAACAAGAATGTGATTCGGTAACAAGTGACGTTAGGTCTTGAAATTGTGACAGTGTTTCGATGACTTCTATCGATTGCCAGCGACTTTATAGCTGATTTCACCATTATTTCGAGCGTTAAAATCCATAATTTCCTGAGTAAGTGCTAATGAAAGTAAAGTATAACTAAATACAGGCTGAAATGTGTACAAATATAAGAGTAGCCGCAGAATATGGTCAACGGAGGTGCATCAGAGGAGGAGCAAATGGGCTCTCATGGACGATTAGGTGAGCTCGTTCATGGGAACTGGGATACGAGACTCGACAATACAGCGACACCATAAATTCAGTATCCGCATGGCCGCCATGAACTCCGTGGGGTCGCATTGAAAACGCTCATTTCGCTCGGCGCTCGTTACAGGAGTGGCGTCGCGTCCGCCATTGTTGGCCTCGGTTGTTTTGCCTACAATGGAGAGGTCGGCACCAACAAAGCTGCCCGTGATCGTCTCGATCGGGAAAATCGGCCGGGCATTTTCTGCCGGTTTTCTCCGCTCTACTGGGCGTCGTAATATGCGCGCAACTTTCGAGTTGTGTCCATACAGGTCGATTGAAAATTCCCCCCTTCAGCAGGTCAATCCCAGGAAGACCTGAATTCCCAACTGGTCCAAAAATGTAGCCAGCATGTGAAGAATGATTTATTTTTTGCTTTCCAAAAGGAGTATCTACAATTCCTGGCGCAGGAGGTTTTTCACTTTCAAAGGCTGTGCCATTATTGGCGGCCGTTTATCACTATGAAGTATTACACGGTATTTGATATTTTACGTTCCTCGGTTTCTACGATTACTCGACAAATGTTTCGTGTAGGTTAATCCGATTTATTCCCGTTTCCAATTTCACCAAATTGATTTTTCAGGTTGCACATTTTGCTTGGAAGTGTGGGAAAATATCGAGAATGCATGCGACAGTCACCCCCTGATGACAGTTTGAGGAAATATATGGGGTTGCCGATACTCCCAGTGTTTGGTATACATGTAGATGTTTAAAAAAGACCTGGATACATCACAAGACAGATTTTTAAAGTGACACTTGTTTCTCAAGAGTGTTATAAAGTCATTTACGAGCATCTTTTAAATCTTCAACCTTCCAATAAACATTAACCCTTTGTACTCAAGAGGCGACACAGTTGCCATTTGGTTTCATGTATAATGCAAAAAGCAGCACATATTCATGGTTTAAACCGGAGACGTAAGATATATGGACCCCAACCCAACCATTCTCTTGATACGTTTTGCAAGTCAGCGAAAAGAAAAGAGCAGACGGAGGGGCTATCTTTTCTCTCCCTCGTTTTCTTCCCGTTAGATAGGCTGTTATATTTCCCTTCGCATCTGTTTCACGTAGAAAAAGAGAAAAAGAGCTCGCTCCTCCGTTTTCCTCTCTCTCATTTCCTTAGTCTTCGTAGTTGGATCGGTGAGCGGGGTCTATACATCTTGCGTCCAAGGATAAGCCACGCGACCGGCAGTTTCGGGAGCCCGAGAGAGAGGGCGCTATCGCGGAGTCCGCGGGCGCGAGAGAGACGTCGCCATTAACCGCGCCGGCCGATCGAGAAGCGAAACGAAAAGACACGGGTATAGCGCGAGAAGGAGAGACAGAGATACCCGAGGGAAGCGGCAATTATCTTAATGGAGTTGCGGACACCGGTAGACGCTATCGATTCGCGTCCGGCATAAACCTGGCCCGGTGTGGCCATGTACTTCCTATGTGCTCCGAGGACAGTCGGGCACATAGGAAGCCCCGCGGTAAACGCCGCTTATTGCATAAATCCTTCGGTGTCGAAAATAATAAAGCCCGCGTTAACGTTTCACTCCGACTGGGTAGGTGTGCGTCGCCGTCGATAAAACTTCCCCATCTAGCGCCGCCCTTCGCGACTGACGTGCAGTTGTGGCGAAAAGTTACTAGGGGGCCCACGTGGGCGGCCGAACCTGCGAAATGTCACCAGAGGACGTATCCGGAATATTGAACGCTTTATCGGGCCTCCGGAGAGGTTTATTGCCTTCGGCAGACGCCGATACGCCCAATTCTCGCGTGATGCATTGTCACGCGGTAAAAGAGCAACTGGACTTATACGAAAGACAGAGAATGACGGAACCGGGAATTTTGCCCGATTGGACATTATACTTCGAATTATTGCCCCGAGCGACGCATCCGGACTGCTCCGCTAATCGCGTAAATGTGTCGTTCGTTCCATGCACCGAGTATTGCCCAGGAACATTTTTCAGGGGACACGTTTTTAACCATTACGTAACTTCAATTTACCAAAACCGCGTACATACGATGGACCCTTTATAAAACATCTAAATTGAGGGGCGAACAAATTATTATGAACCGAATGGAAAGATGTATATTAATAATCTTCCTTTAATATATAAAATCCAAACCGATTGACTCGCTGAGAGATAATCAACGCCCAGTCTAAACCAGATAAAAAGTCGACATTTTCGGAGAGCCTTCGTGTCTTAATGAACACCCACAAATTAGGGATTTTTCGAAATTTGGCTTTTACAGAGCCGAAAGGATGGATTGGAATTTTAGGCTTTTTCGAAAAGCGGTTTGATCTAGAAGTATGAGACTTGGAAGAAATACTCATTATTGGAATTAATTGCATCCATGTAAGACGAAATTTCGATGTTCACTTTTTAATTGGGTGAAAACGAAGATGGTATATTAGAGCGAAGCACGGATATTCAGCTAGTGCTTTGGAGGGCTGTTATTATTTCGTCGGAAATAAACAATAAATTGTGGAAAGGTTGTTTTTGGAAACATTCGAGTATCGATGACCGTGGGCGCCATTCATTTATTTTCCAGTTAATCCGATTAATTTTAGTTGATTACTTCCCCCCTTTTGGGGTATCAGAGGTCGGGCTGAAACCACTCGGCGGTCAGTGCGAGTGCATCCCGATTAATTCCAATTACCACGAAGAGGCGCGAAAGCTCAGGTTTTCACGCATCCCGCCGTGAAACACGGAATAAAACGTGGAATGAACAATCCCACTCATCAGAGTCCACGTGTCGCGCACGTGGCAAAGCGTGCCGCGACAACTGGTGCCCGAAGTCTCTTGGCACCATGTGTCAGGACGAGGACTCGCCTCTTTTTCTCTTTTTCTTTTTCAAGGACTGCGCGTGCAGTCTAGGTACACTACATTACATTGCCTCCAATCTTAAGTGCACTCTCGTTACGAAAGAATTCAACATTCCCTCTCTTTTGGCGACAGCGAATCTTCATTTTGGTACGTACTCGAGGGAGTATTCACTCAGGAAATCGTGAATTTTAACCCTTGAAACGATATGGTTAATCAATTGGAAATCGCAAATAGAAATCCCCGTAAATCGTTGGAAATCACCGAACCCCACTTGTTACCGAATCGCATTGTTGTTTATCATATGAAATGAAAGGCAATCGTCTCTCAAAGAAGGAAATTGTATTCGCTGATTTCTAAGTGAATCCTCGAACGTATTCCCTTGGCGAGCCTTTGGAATGAAAATACTTTTGTTCATAATTGGAGGAAAGATAAAAAAGGAAGAAACTCAAGGCAAGAGGACTCTCACGAGTATGTGTCGTTGGAATCGAAAATGGTAAAGGCATAAATTGCCCGCATCACTCGAAAATCGAGCTCAAAACGATCGAACTTAAGTTCGAGGGCCGTTTCGAGCACCTCTCGAGAGGCTATCTATACGAAAGGCCGAAGATCGATAATAAACAACTTGAAATGTAACGTGTAATCGCTCGTAACGGAGCCATTGTCGGGTTGGAGCGTGCGTGACCAACTGGCGTGCGTGCGTGAAGAGGACACTCTTGACTGCCGGCAGGTCTGAAATGCGTACGTATGCCGACATATGGGGATATGAGTGATATCAATCAGTGATAGGGACTCATCGGGCAAAGCTGCAGTTCATACGATTTAAGCTAATGAAGGAAAATCGAATGACTTAAAGATAACATTTTTTAGAGTATCCATTTTTAATAGAGCGTGAACGAGTGAGCGAGAATATATATTTTTATATAATTTCGCGTATATATATTCTTTATAAATCATCGTGACCAACTGTCGTGTGTGCGTAAAGAGGATACTCTTGACTGCCGACAGGTCTGAAATGCATACTTACGACGGCATATAGGGATTTGAGTGATATCATTCAGTGATACGGATTCATCGCGCGAAGCTGCATTTCATACGATTTAAGGTAACCAGGAAAGAACGAATGATTTAAAGATAAAGAGAATCCTAATGTTTCCTAGAATTTATATTTTCACAAGAGTGCGACCGAATGTGGGCGAATTAATATTTCTGCAAGAGTTTTCGTATGTATGTTTTTATTCTCACCTATCTCCCGTTTTTCTGCACATTTTCAACCGCAAAGTCAAGTTTTTATTTGTCCCGCGACCGAATTTTACGGCTTCAAAACGAGTACTCAGATTTTCTGGTTACTATCGGAGTAACATTCGCGGTATCGAGGTTATGTCCGCCCGGAAAACCGGGAAATGGAATACGATGCCCTGGGGAATATACCGGGCGAGGTCTTCGACGGGAGTCGATATTTTTTCGATTTTTCAAACTAGGTCAACGCGGTGAAAAAGGCGGAAATAAAGATAAAAATGAACACTCACATTCCTCCCTAATCGGAGAACCGCCTGGCGTTTCCTGGATCCGTTCTAAAACAAAAGAGAAAATAATGGAGAAATAAATAAACCAAACAAGGCCAACTGAAGATGTCGAAAATAGCCGGAAAATGAAAGCGTGGGTTTATCGTAACAGGTGCCTAATGAAAAATCAATTGAAACGAAGCGATTTACAAAATTCACGGGGAAATATTTTAGACCAATGAAATGTCGCAATCCGTTGCAAATCAAATGACTTAAAAATGATTCTAAATCATTATTTATGTTTCTGCCAATCAAGTCGTAATGGACTTGTCGGATTTAATTGAACCTAAAAAATATATACGTTTTCTGGAATGAACGTTTCCTCGACACAGGATGAATAATTCTAAAAAAAGATACATTTCGCAATTGGCTGTTTATTTACCGGTGGACACAGACATGCATCGTTAAAGCACTCATTCTTTATTTAGCGACGTCTAACCAAGTGTTGAAACTAATTGCAGAACGAAGTAGTCCGCCGCGATTTATGCGAGTTTGTTTTTACAATAGTCCTGTCCAGAAAGTTCATTATTGACTGGGCTGGCAGTAATTGCCGCTCGTTACGTCTGTAATTTAACACCAACAATTAACGACAGTTCGACACTAGTCGACAAGCCTGTGCTAAAAATTGCACGAACCTGAAATAATTATAAACAACTTAGTTACTTTTGTTCGATAGTCTTTTCTTCCCTCCATTTTTTAACCTCTTTTACGCTACATATTCAAGATGGATCGTAAAATGGATTTTTCATAATTTTTTATTCATAAGGAACGTTTAGGAAGGTATTGTTAATTTGTACACATAGATAAACAAATATACTCAGTGCACGTGAAATTGTCGTACTGTTTTTCGCGCCTACCTCCCGTGACTTGAGGGTGCTTTGCTAATTTTCTTTCTTTTTTAAATAAATCTTCATCGTGGTTATGAGGGAGGCCTTTATTGGCGACGCGTCACTCGATGAGACGGCCTTGCTTCGTCGTGAATATTTATCACATTGCAACCCCAGACTCACCTTTGAACTACAATTATCTCGCAACTTGTCCCAGAGGAGAGGATTGAGTGATAGTATTCTCCTAATACTAAATGATTTATCAGGACACCCTTATCTCGGCGAATCTCAAACTTGAACACCGCTCTTCAATTGCCAAAGAAATATGACCCGTGTTTTGAACTCGCCGCGATTCAAACGATAGCGAAGACATTCAAAACAGCCATTTACCTCGGATAATGTAATTGCATGTTTGTTATACACTGCTATTAACCTTCAGCACATTTTTAAAGCATAACAGTACCGAACATATATTTTAAAAGCGACATAAAACTGGGCCTAATAGATACTTAATAATATGCGTATGCACATGCATTGCAAATCATATAATGCGTAATTTAATATATAAAAACATTTAAATGGCAAATTCGGCACTCATAAACAATATTACGAATCCATGCCCAATCTGATAATATTTCTAAGACAAAGAGCCGTTCGTGGGGTAATTAATGTTTTAATTCTATGCGTAAGTTCTACTAATTCGTGTTTATTCGGTTGATATTAACGCGAAGGCAGCGAAGAGGAAAAGAGTAACCAGAGGGGCTATCCTTTCTTTCTTTCTTTCTTTCTCTTGCTGTTAGGCTGTCACCACATTGCGCTGCACCCCTGTTTCAAGTAAGAAAAGAAAGGAAAAGCAAGAAAACAGCCCCTTTGTCTTCTCTCTTTCAGTTTTGCTCTCTTCATAGTCAGGTCAGAGTTCGGGATTCGTTCATGAAGACTCCCCGCTTCAACCGAGCAAAAAAAATCTTTGCACGAAGTGGACCATCGTGATAGTCTAAACGCAGTTTAGTTTCCATCAAGAGGTACTTAATCCCTGATCTGGTAAACGCCATCGACAATGGGGCTCCGCCGCTCATTCGATGCGCCATGAAGTGCATAACGCGCGTGCGGTGCGTCCACGATTACGTTGCGCGTGCAACAACGCCCGTCACGTGCCGCCAAAGTGAACGTCGGTGAACATTGGCGAACACCGGCTAACATCGGCCCGATGTCCGACCAGGAGCACGCCCTTGCTCTCGGGACAACCCTCGGGACTCGAAACAACCCCAGACTCGGTTCCCACGTGGCTGACTATACCCCGGACAAACTTACTCCTGCGTCTCGGATTACGCGTGTGCGTGCATACCCTGGTAGCACAGAATAATTTTTAAATATTTCTATGTAATCTTTGCCAAATATTTCAAGCAACAGATTTTTTAAGATGTAGATTTCATTCAAAAATGTCTAAAAAATTTGTTGAAAATCTCAATGACATATTTAGCTTTAATAATTTATGAACCTAGGTCAAAATTATATTTTTTTAATTTATGAACATAATGAAAATACGTTTTTTACTTTACCATTATTATCGGACCCTTCATTAGGTATCAAAAAACACGACAAATTTTTGCAACATTTTCGTTCCGCTATTTCATTATGGGAGCAAAACGTGTGATTTTGATTTTAAATNTGTGATTTTGATTTTATATATTTTTAAAACGTTTAAAGTGTATTCAGCAGATAAAATTGAAAAAATACATATATTAAAATGAAACAAAACGTTTTGTATGTTTCTAAGAAGAATATTACGAAAACACGTGGAACTGATATTATACAAATATTATGATAATAATGTTCTAAAGTAAATGTCTTGCAAATATTTCAAATATCTGCTAAATATTTACAAAATGTACTGTATTCGTTAAATGTATAGATAATATAAGACAAATATTTTGTGCTACTAGGGTACATTTTTGTCGAGCTCGTCGGAGCAGATCCTTCAGGCAATCGCGAAAAGCGTTGCACGCATTTTGGACAATTTTGCCAAATTTACTTCGTTATGACTCTTCGAAGCACACCCGTCCCTCAATTTACGCGGAGTATCCGTTCCCCGTGGATTCGTTTTACGCAAATAAAAATCGCGCCAATAAAGTCTGCCAGTACAATAGAAAAATATACTGGAAGTAAAAGCTAGTACATATAACTTTCAGAAATACGTATTTATTAGAAGTAGCTCAAAAGAAAATAATAATGACGTTTCAAAACCGCGTAAATTGTGTTACAATTGCGTAAATAGTGTGCCAAACGGCGTGGGCGATTAAACTTTGACAATTTGATAGGTTTTGCATGAGAAAAGCATCTGTGATTTATTTTCATCAGCGGGTAGTAAATGCTGAGCAAAACTTGTAATGTATATCTAAAGTATTAATATTAGAAATGATTTCACTTGTTTCTAGATGATTTATCTGTATTTGCGTGGCCAACGGTTTCATTGTTTATTTCTTATGAGGTCATGGCAACAATTACATAATATTGTTTCTCAATCTCAACATGTAAGTGTTACAATGAACAATTACCGGAGGCCTTGGGAGTATTAACTAAATACCGAGATTTTGAAATTATCCGAGAGAGAATTCGAAACGGTTCGGCAATTTTTTACGCGATTCTCGGCTGCGGTGCGTTCGTTCAGCTGGATTAACAATTAGACCGCAGCTTCGCAAATGTCCCTGGAAGTCGAGAGGCGTTTAATCATCGCCGGAGGGGAGTGCAACTTGTCTTTATCACTGTCAACCGACATTACCTTGAACCTTCGGAGTCACTGGCTCGGGAATAGCAGCGATTCGAGACGGCGTGCACTTGCATTTTCGACATCGCGTTAGAAATAGTCCACGATTGCGTAATACCAATCTACGAACGGATCTGTAAATAAAAGGTCGTCGGCATTTTACGACGACTTATAACGCTCCAACTTTGCCTATGCATTTATTCCATTAATTATGGAGAGAAAATTAATTTTTTCTAGTTACCAAGATGTTCGAAAAGAACCACGTTTAATAATTCCGCCGCAGACAGACATTGCGGTGACATTTTCACTCGATGCTTGATAAAGCCCGAGTGCCAATCCAAATTTTAATCTTATCGAGAGATGGCTACTTTGGGTAGCCATTAAAAATCTGAAGAAAAATCGCTGCCAATCGCTATCGAGTCTAGACTGGCCGGAGCGATAGCTTGAACCTCGGTCGTCTGTTCTGGTCGAAGTTCATATGATTTTGCGATTGTGACGTGACGTCGTTGTCAAAAATCTGAAGATTTCCGTCGGTTTTCCAGTTATACCCATGTTGTAAAGACGTGACAAAATTGAATATTTTAATAACTTCCCCTTTCAATTAAAATATTAAATAATTCACCTCAATATCTTGCAGGTTATCTCAATATCATCATATCGTAACATCGATCGCGGCTGTATATGATTTTGAAATTATGATATTACAAAGTATGCATTTTCTGCGTATGTTTGTTTCTTGTAAAGATTCTCAAACAGTCGTTACAACAATTGCGAATACATTTATGATTTAAATATAATATAGGGCCACTGTTCAATTGACAAGGTCTTCCCTTGTTACAGGTTTCATATAAGTATACTTGATTGTAAAAGGAGGAAACAACCCCATAGAAGTCCACGTGTAACATAACCATAGCACCCAACTGACTCTTTCAATCCCGCCGCTGAACAATAGTATTGTGACTTACCATTCATACACTATTATTTCTCTCTATTGTCATATAGCACGATTCCAAGACAACTTTCAAATTAATTCTTTCGAAAACCGTTTCTTTACCCATAACTTTCCCCGCAGTACGTTTCAACAATCCTTCTATCTCATCATTGCCACCTATAAAAATGGTTGCTGTTTCATATGGACTTATTATATAATTCTTTAATAATTAAATTAATACCGTACCCATAATTGTCAATTATCTCGTAGAATAAGCGTTTCTCACGAGTATACCCGCGGATTAGCGTAATATGGATTCGTCGAAAAGTTAAAAAAAGCCGATCATCCATCAAGTCCTCGACCTCGGAAAGATTGTCCAGGAAATGGAGCAAACTTTAACGGCCGACCTTCGCGTGTTAAAAAACCTCCCTAATTCGATAATGCCTAAGGGCGGGTTCTTGTTTCGTAATTCGATCCCATTGGCTGC